TATATATACACAAGATTTTTTTCTTCTTTCTGCTACCTTTCATTTTATTTAAAATGTATTTTTTGTATGTGAATTTTTTTAAAAAATGTAACAAAAAAGACCATAATTTATAAGATCTATATATAAGGTCTAGATACCAATTCAGTGTGCAAACAAATTGACCTAAATTGTTCCAAAACATATGATAGAACATAATAAAGAAAGAGATATCAGTCACAACAGAGCTTTCCCAGGCACACCTAACTTGTTAGAATAGAATAATAGCTTCACCTACTGGTGATCCCTAGGTATTACAAGTGTCCTCATGTTTCCTTTTCTTATTGTTTTCCACTTTGTCCTTTTCTCACCCTCTTTCCACTCCTTCCTTTATCCTTATGTATCATGTCCCTATTCCTGCCTTTGTCCCCTCTTACTTCACTTTTCTGTCATTCTATTCAGATAATGCCAGAACACAACAATGAGCTCCAACAGCACCGACCCTGGTCTCCTTTGGACTGACAACCCCTCGCCGCCGGTGGCCGGAGTCTATCCCCAATCCAATGCTCTTCATCGAGGAGAAATTGAAGGAGCCCCGTGGTTGGGTTTATATCCAGATGCTGCTGCTGATAACTCCTCTTTCACCAACACGACACAAATTGGCAATGTAACGACAGTCCTTGACCCCCTGGGTGGTCACCCTGTGTGGCAAGTCGTCCTCATTGTTTTGCTGACAGGCACACTGTCTCTGGTCACCATCATTGGAAATATGCTGGTAGTGGTGTCCTTCAAGGTTAATCGCCAGTTAAAGACAGTCAATAACTACTTCCTTTTGAGCTTAGCTGTGGCTGACCTCATTATAGGAGTGATTTCTATGAACCTCTATACACTATATCTCATAATGGGCTACTGGGCCATGGGCACCTGGGCCTGTGACCTCTGGTTGGCTATTGACTATGTTGCAAGCAACGCATCAGTTATGAACCTTCTAGTGATCAGCTTTGATCGCTACTTTTCAATAACCAGGCCTTTGACCTACAGGGCCAAACGAACCACAAAGMGAGCTGGAATCATGATCGGATTAGCCTGGCTTGTTTCTCTTGTTCTGTGGGCCCCAGCCATCCTGTTGTGGCAGTATTTTGTAGGTAAAAGGACAGTGCCCCAAAACGAATGCTACATTCAGTTCCTCACAGAGCCAATTACAACCTTCTGCACAGCTATGGCGGCTTTCTACCTACCTGTGACGATTATGAGTATTCTCTACTGGCGCATTTACAAGGAGACCCAAAATCGTACAAAAGAGTTAGCTGAGTTGCAGGGGTCTGAAGGCCGTGGAGGGAAAGGGAAAACAGGTGGGAAGATGAGGAGCGAAAGAGCGCGTTTTGTGCATCAAACAGGAAGTTCCAGAAGTTGCGGTAGCTTTCAGCTGACCAGGTCATCAACAAAAAGGAGTACATGTCAGGCCCTTGTTGGACGATTCCACTGCTGGCCTGGGGTTCGTTCTTGGAGACCTGGTAGTATCCGTCAGGGCGATGGTGATCCTGACCAAAGCAGCAGTGACAGCTGGAACAACAACGATGCTGCAGTCTCTTTGGATCACTCTGGGTCCTCAGAGGATGAGGACTGTGGTGGAAAAGAGATGATTACCCAAAGTCATGCCATCTTTTCTATTGTCCTAAGTCTCCCCGGCATTAGAGCTGCTGTCAACTCTCAACTTACTTCATGTGAGGACCTAGATGCAGCGTCAGAAGAAGATCCACTGAAGGGAGCAGAGTACAACCGGGACAGCTTGTCAACAGTCACCACTACTGCCACCACTCCCATTACACCTGAGGGCACAAACAATACAGAAAACAGCTACAACCAGCGCTACTGCTCACGCAAGACACAATCAATGTCTACCATTCAGGCTAAGTCTAACCAAGAGCTCCTTGATGGTACACCAACAGCCACTACCATTGACACGGCTGCYGCTAGCACAGCCTCCAAGCCCTCCTCTCTCCCAATGTCTTTTAAAGAAGCAGCTATGGCAAAGCGCTTTGCAGCTCGAACCCGAACTCAGATCACCAAGCGAAAACGTATGTCTCTGGTGAAGGAGAAGAAGGCAGCTCAAACTCTCAGTGCCATCCTCTTAGCTTTCCTCATTACGTGGACACCTTATAACATCATGGTGCTGATCAATGCCTTCTGCAAGTCTTCTTGCATCCCAGAGACCCTGTGGGCTGTGGGGTACTGGCTATGCTATGTCAACAGCACAGTCAACCCCATGTGCTACGCACTGTGCAACAAAACGTTTCGTACAACCTTTAAGATGATACTGTTGTGCCGCTGGGATCAAAAGAAAAGGAGAAAGCAGCAGTTCCAGCAGAGGCAGTCAGTGGTCTTTCACAGGGGGATTCCCAGAGAGTCTACATAAACGACTGAATGTTCAGATGGATTACAGAACTAAAAAAAAATTTAACACACAAGTTGAATAAAAGAGTCTCCATGTTGTCGTTTCTGTGGAGTTCATTTGCTTAGGGATTCTTAAGTCCTTATCTGCTGTTATGTTCAATTACGGCAACAGTATGTGCTGGTCTTGCAGTGTGTGTTAATGTCGGTGCATCCATTTACTGTGGAAACAGGACATGTACACGTGTGCGGAGGCTTGTCAAGCGTGAAGTACAGAGATGAAAGCTTTTGCTTTCTCCTTGGAGAACTCTTTACCACTTCACACAAGTGCGGCTAAGAGAAAACTAGTGGAAAATAACTGTAAAGGGCTTTTAAAATGCATTGCAGGAGATATACAGTACTGAAGTGCAATTGACACAAATTTTAAGCATGTCTGTGTCACGGGTTGGGGATTCATTGTTATTTTTCTCGGTGGGTAGCTAGATTTGTATCGTGTATTCCTTTTTTTTCTTTCAAACAATACTGTGTTTTTGTAATTAGTTCCTTTGACCCAAGGTAAAAGAAAAAAATGAAGACGTAAAGTGAAGATGTGTTTTATCTGAACTTCCATGGGTTACCTTTCTATGTGGATCCTGTGCATTATGGACTATACAAAYTGAGTTCTAGTTTTAAGTCAACAGAGACCTGATATTTTTGTGATATTMATCTTTGATTTTATAGGTACTTCAGGACTTTTGAGCCAATTTTGGAAAAAGATGTTTGTTTGATAAAGTGAGTTGTGAATAGTCTGTGTGTGACACACAGTCAGTGAACTGCTGTTGTGTTTAATGTGGTTGTTGTGGTTTTTATGGTGGACACAWTAAGTACATTGGTTGTGTTTTCTGTGCTTGCAGTTTCCTGTCAAAAACAATGATTATTCAATGATGATATCCTGTTTGTGTACCTTTGGATATTTCTGAATCAATGCACCAAGATTGCTTGCACACATAAAATGTTCATTTTTAAAGACATTTGTTTTGATTTTATCTAGACTTTCAAATTTCTACAAAATTATTCAAGAAAAGTTTTTGTAGAATGGCAACTAACTTTAATACAGAAGAGCAATTGCAGCCTCTAGTGGCAAAGAAAAAGATCTGTTGCCTGAAGTGTAATTTTAACATCTACAGTGAAACTTCTGAATAAAGTACAAAAACATTCTTTCCTAACCTAAAATATGTATACATGTTCACATTGTTTGTTTAAAAAAGTCCCATAAATGTTTATTTCATAAAACAACAGTCACATTCTAAGATATTGAATATGTGATTTTACTACTTTTTGGTTGGTTTCTCAATGAAATATGTATTTTTAAATCATTGTAACATATAATGTGTACATACAGTTGACACCTGTTTTGGAATACAGCGTCATATTGTGTTTGTTTGGTTTTTATTACAAAAAAATTKCATACACACAAAGTTAATTTAAATTTGTTGAATTAATTTAAATGTGATTTCTAAAGCACATTGTGTTTTCTTGTTTTTGCAGTATAGCTACACTCAGATGTGTCAGTATTATTTTGTGCAAAACATCTTAAGGTGAAAAGGAAGTTTTTAACATCCTAAAGCAAAACAAAGATTTGACAGAAGTAAACGAGGTGGTCAAAAGATTTGACACAAGTTTGAACTTTGTGAAATTGGGGGTGAGGATCTGCTTCCAGTAGGGAGTTCAGAAAATATTCAGATTCCTTTTATTTATTAGTTTGTTTTTGTTTTTTTGTTTTTTGCAATTTTCATATGTTGCATCTTGATGCAATAATCACTGCATTTCTCATAATTATTAAGTGAAAACAGATCAAAATAATTGAGTAAATTTGTTAAATATGAAAAACTGAAGTATCAAATTTTCATAGCAAGTTTCAGACCTTTTGCAAAATACACRTTTATTTAGTTTATCGTGTTTAGTTTTAGTTATGTCTCCTATTATTTTTATTACAGGTGAGATACTTTTACACTTTGATTGGAGACCATGCATTAAATTAAGTAGACATGATTTGAATGAGCACACAGACACAAACACAAACTGAGAGCAACACCCAAGCAGGAGGCAGTTTTMAATTTATTTGAGGTGCAGAGTGTACATTGTTTGTGGAAATTATTAAGTTTGCATCAGGCTGCTACATAACAACTAAATGATTTGAATATTTTCTGAATTCATTGTATTTTATAGTTTAAACACAGTGTGTTCCAGTATCAATACACAACCAAAATGATTATGTATT